TGCTTTAGGGGAGAGATTGTAAGGACAGGATACAATGAAAGCAGGAGTTCTTTGGAACCACTGCTTCTCCTCTGTCATTTGGATGAACGTTGAGTATGTTGGGCAACAATATTATGAACTGGAATATTAAACACAATGACATTTAAATATGCTTGTAGAGAGCTGGATGAGGTCCTGTACCACTGTAAAGACAGGGCAATGCATCCTTTAAAATAGACTAAAATAAAAGCCAAGGCGTTTTGGTGAGATACCCCTTTGGAGTCTTGGAACATGCGAAAATATTTCCCAGCATCTTTTCTTTTGTTCCCAGCCTCCCCTCTCCTTTCATAGCAAATCCACAAAGCGAGGATGAGATCAAATTCTTAAAAGTGTGTGCGCGCATGCCTCTTAAGCCCTCCCAGACAGGCACAAAGAATAGCAGCCTTTCTCTTTGCAATATGTTTACATGGCTGCCTGTGTGAAGGTTAAATTCCTCTTTCTTGAGGGGTGGCAAATTAAATTAGTCACAAGTGTGTGCGTAGGGGGGAGATGCCTAAGGGGGGGAATCGTCTGCAGGCCTGTGTTTTACAGTTGTTCGTGTGAGAAAAGCCCCGTCTCCAAATAATTCCTGTTCAGTAATTGGAAAGAATGCAAGACTTGGCTTCTGATTTTTTTTCTTCTTCTGAGTTCTGATTATTTAAGGTTTTTTTGTGTGTTTTTTTAAAAAGCAAGCAAGCAAATGGCTTCTAATGAAGCTCTATTAGCTTAGCAGAGCGAATGACCTTGGGAAAGGAGCTGCTGTTTCAGAGCTACCTTGGGGATTTGTTCCGGAGAAACAGATGTAAGTAGTGAGCAGCCTACAACATTTGCCCGCCCCTTAGAATGTCATCTGTTCACATTCTCCTCCCAGATCGCAATGGCATTCCATTCCAATTCTACCCCCCATTCCTTGTTTAACTTAACGGTACTTTGCAAATCAAATGGTGCTAAGAGAGAAGCAGTTGCCTCACTGCAGAAAATGTACTTCCTGGGTTGCTAAATGAGCAAATATAACAGTGTTTGCACAAAGGCTGGCTGTGTTTCTCTGTGCCTGTCTTCCTATGCTACAACTGGAAAAATGTCACAAGATGATATTTCTTGTGTCTCTTTCAAGCACTTCAAAATGAGCGGGCTGGAGCTAGAGTTTGGCACGCAAACAACCAAAAGCCCTGGCTGCCTGTCAAAAGGGAAGGGAAACATTTTCCATGTTCCTTAAATAAAATTCCGTTAAACCGCTGAATGCGCAGCTCCCATAAAGCATGAGAGCTTATTTAAATTTATAAATTCCCTCTTCAAATGACAGTAACCGTGAAGACATTTGGAGCCCAGAAAGAATGTTACAGTGGCGTGTCTCCTTCCCTCCTGCATACAGGGGTCTCTCTAGCAAGCCCACCCTGGTCTACATGGCTGGCGTCCTTTCCTTAATGAGATCTTCCAGGCCTCAGTAAACCAGTCCTGCTCAGTTATAATAAATACCCTCCCATTCTTTGCATGCTCTCTTTGCTGCTGGGAGTGGAGTGGTGGATATAGCATTGAGTTTATAGACTACATCTGGTCCTCCTCGGCATTTAATGATAAGGCATATTGTTTCAATGTGTTCAACAGAACCGAAAGTGACCACCTGCCAATCGCCATCTCCTTCCTCCACACACAGCTGGGGTTTCCCAGCTCACTCCACCCCCAGGATCCACTGATCTTAGCTCCTGGACGTAAGAAGTGGGATTTCTATCTGGAGCAAGACATAAAAGTCCTCCTAAATTCCCCTGAGATCCTAGCCCTGAAAGCTCAGCTGTTAACAATGAATGTGAATCATTTCTCAACTTTCCAGCAAATTCTAGCCTTCTTGCTTCCTTCACTTACGAAACCTTCCCGTGCGATTCTAACCTGGAAGAATCAAACTTGGTTCGACCAAGAATGCAAACAGTGCAGAAGTAGGCTTAGATTTCTTCAGTCTGATATGAAATCAGACAGCACCCAGAGCAAAATCAGGGAGTTAGCCCAATTCCGTTCATACTACAAGAAGCTGCTCCATCATAAGAAATTGCTCTTTGCGAAAGAACGCTGGACGGCACTGTCAGTGGCCATTAAAACCCGTGACGACAAGAAATTCTGGAATTTAATTAATGCAGGTTTAAGACCCCCCTCATTCATCGCTAATAACATCACAGCAGCCAGTTGGCACTCTCACTTTGCTCAGCTGTATTCCGCCCCAGATCCCGAAGTAAATGTTGTCTCCACTCTTCCAGCATCTGCCTTGCCCACCTGGGAGCCAGTCTCCCCAGAGAGATGTATACAACTAATCAGTACGCTTTCAGGGGATAAATCCCCGGGGGAGGATATGATACCACCTGAGGTATTCTTGTCGAACCAGACATGGTGGGCCCCTATTTTAGCATCTCTCTTTACCACTATTAATGCTACTCTTAAGATTCCACCTAATTGGAAACAGAGCATAGTCATCCCAATACATAAAAAGGGGGATCCACAAGATCCGCGTAACTATCGACCTATCAGCCTGCTGGACATATCATACAAGGTCTACTCTAGATTCTTGCTAGAGAAATTAATCGAGTGGGCAGAAGAAACAAAGCTATTTCACCCGGAACAGGCTGGCTTCCGTAAAGGTCACAGCACATCTGGCCAATGTCTTGTTCTATTTACCCTGATTGATAAATATCTAAACAGGTTCAACTGCAAACTACACGCGGCTTTTGTGGACCTGACCTCCGCTTTTGACTCCATCCCCAGAGATAGGCTATGGCAGAAGCTTAGTTACACTAACATAGATAAGAGACTCCTCCACCTTCTTATGGAAATTCATAATGACATATCGGCCAGAGTAAAATTCGGCCCTCTGGGAGCTCTATCTGATCCTTTCCCTCTGAATAAAGGGGTCAAACAGGGCTGCCTCTTGGCCCCTTTTCTATTCAATTTCTACATCAATGACATCGTTACAACCATGAAGGCCCTAAATCAATCTGTCCCCTCTTTACAACAGCTCAAGATCCCCATATTACTCTATGCGGACGACATGGTGATACTGTCTTTAACCAAGCAGGGCTTAAACAACATGCTCAGAGGGCTCATGACATATTGTGATACCAACTCCCTCAAAATCAATTTCGCCAAAACCAAAATTCTTACTTTTGGCACGAAAACTCGGAAGCCTTTCTGGAATTTTGAGGGCCACTCTATTGAATATTGTTCAGCATTCAAGTATTTGGGTATCACTTTTCAGCATGGGCTTAGCTGGTCAGCTCACCTAAATATGACCATCCTGGCTGCCCGTAGAACCATCAAAGCCTTGGAGAAATTCTTCTATGCAAAAGGCGGCCAGTTGGTTCCACCAATCAGAAAAGCATTTATCAGCAAAGTCCTCCCGATGTTACTGTATGGGGTTGAAATCTGGGGGTGGAATTTAAAAACACTACAATCGCTGGAGATTCTGCAAAACTCTTTTGCACGAAAGATACTGGGCCTCCCCAAGGGCTCAGTTGCTGCACAGTTAAGAACAGAACTGGGCCTCCCTCCATTGTTGCAAGAGCCCACATTAGAATCATTAGTTTTTACTGTAAATTATTCAATGCCCCAGGTTCCCTACTAGCTAGGCAAGCCTTTTTAACTTGTTCTCATACCAACAAATGGTCCAAGGCCATGGAGACTATTACTGCACGCTACTCCCTCCCAGATCTCGACACGCTGTCATCTTGGGACCAACATAAAATCCGGGCCTGGATTCTTACAAGAGACGAGGCCATGGACCGGGCACAGTCCATTACAGCTCGCCTCTCCATGTGGCTCCCTAAAGTGAAAGTGGTAAGATCACTTGCCAACTACTTGATAGACCTGACGGAGCCCAATTTGAGAAGAGCGTTTACTATGGCCCGTTTCCATTCTATACCCACGGCCTTCCTGCAGGGGATTTACTCTAAGACCCCTATTACTCAGCGTTTATGTCCATGCACAATGAATGAAGTAGAGGACTTCATACATTTCTTTTTCTACTGCCCTATTTATGAGCCAATAAGACCTAAGCTCCTCCTCTTGATCCCGTCCACCATTACATCTAAGGAAGACTGTTTGAAATCGCTTCTTGTGGACGCAAATCCCCAAATTTCACGTGGGGTGGCAATCTTTATAGTGCAGGCTCTGAAACTCAGGGCTACTCTGACTGGGTAGTGTGTCCTAGACCTGGACCTGTTTTAATTCTTTTTATTACTTTTTCAACCCAATGTGCCGAGCCTATTTTGGGGCCATTTTATGTTTTATATACATCCGCATTTTGGATTCTTGGCGCTGGCAACTAAATCTTTACATTATTGTCTTAGGGTAATTTAAATGTCATTACGCCAGTAATATTGCTTTGAATTTTGTTTGGTTGCTTGTCTCTAGTATTTTTGTCTTATTTTGCTATGGCTGTATGCTAATGCAATAAAGGTTTTGATTGATTGATT